ACACACACACACATATACATATATGAGATAACTGTATTGCTGATGTCTCAAAATGGCTGAATCATGAAAGCACCAAGGGAGGAATGTGGAAATGCAACCTCCCAATCCACAGACAGAGTCTTCATCACATATAGTTGGAGCAGAAACCTGTGTGCTTGCCCATTTTCCATTTCTATGACAATATATCTGGAGCTTTGTACACTGCAGAAAAAAAGTTTAATGTATATCATGATTGGAGATTTTAAAAGCATGCACCTTGCCAGCTCAGTTCTTGGAGAATCACCTTTGTAGAACATGGTGGGAGAGAATATAATTGCAAGAAGAAGAGATCATAGATAAGATCAGAAATAGGCAAGGTCCAATTGTCTGGTGTTTCTGTTTTATAAAACTACCTCAGAGCAGTAACCAGGAATGCACAAGGACTACAATGACCATTTCAAAGACAAGACCACTTCCAGGACCTGCAACCTTGTCTTTAACACATCATAGCAGTTCTTGTCATCGCCACACTAGACACCCAGCTTTCCACACACATGCCTTCGAAAAATGAATCCTTCTAGGTGCAATAGGTGTTGTAAAAGGGAAAGAAACACTCAAATATGAAGAAGCCATTGGGATGAAGGAGGGGAAAGGAAAAAGAAAGCAGATAAAAAATATGTATATATATACATAAGAGAGCTAAGATATTGTACTGCTAATTTCTGTTGCTGTATTGAAAGAAACAGTTAATGTATAATTGTTTGATCAGTCTTCTGTGCCTATATCTTGTTATCTGCCCCTCCACTTTGAAGATAACATTATGTAATATAACAACCATTGTTAATATCCTATCACCTTCTTTTGAAATTCTGTATCATTTTTATTTTTTTGATGCTGTTTTGTTTATGTATTTGTTTTTGTTATTTGGCTTTTTTCTTTTCTCTTTAAAATGAAAAACAAAATTTATGTTTTGAAAAACAAATTTACATGCAAGGATAGCTGGGATAGGTGTATTGCTGATGTCTGTGGTTTATGGAAAGGAACAATTAATGCTTAAGATTTTCTTTCTCTTGACCAATTTTGCATGCTTGAATCTGGTAATCAGAATGACCGATTTGAAGACAACAATATGCAATGTAAGAACCATTGTTGAACTCCTACCATCTTGTATTGTGAAGCTCTGCATCATTTCCAATGTTTTATTTTATTGCTTATTGTTGTCTTTGACTATTTGATCAATTTCACATTCTTATATCTGGTGAACTGAACAAATTTGTTAAAGATGGCAGTATGTAGCGGAGCAACCATTGCTAATTCCTATCATTCTGTTTTGAGGTCAAGTATCATTTTTGTTGTTTCTGTGTTGTTTTTATTTTTGTCTTCATTGTTGTTGTTTTGTTAGTTTTTTTTTTTTCTGTTTAAAATAAAAAAGAAAAATGAATCCCTTCTAAACCAGACCATCCTGCTGGCAAAACTGCCTACTCCTGTCAAGAAGAGGGCAATTCTTTATGTCTCAATTGTTGCTTCTGAGAATAAATGTCTGACACATTTCAAAGAGGAACAATTTAGTAAGGCTCATAGTTTAGTACCATGCTCAACTGGCTCCAAAATGGGAATATCATGCTGAAATATATGGGAGAAGGGCAGCCCAGAAAGCTGCTAGGGAGAAAAATCTACTGACCTCACAGTGGCCACAAAACACAGCATGCAAGAAAGCCAGAGGTGAAGGGACTGGGAAGCAGATGCTTCACTCAAAATCATGCTCCCTACTGACCTACTTCCTCCAACCTGACTTGAACTGCTAACAGTCCACTCAGCTCTGAACTGGTCAGTGGACTAGCCCATTGAGGAGGTTACCTTCTTCATGATTCAGTTCTTGTAGGGCCATCCCATAATTCAATCAAGTTGATGAGCAAGAGCTACACTTTGCAAAAGTCCAATAAAAGGGGGATGTGGAATAGGCATCATTGGGCGTACCTCTGCAAAAGAAGAAATAAATTCCTTGTTAGCAAAGCCAAAGAGGTGTCAGACTTGACAAAGTCTAAACCCACTTAAAACCAGTGCCTACTTGATTAGCACAAGACAGTGATAGTTCAGAAGAAAACACACTCTGCGCACATCCTGGGGGTAAAATAAGAGTGCGGCATAGACTGCAACCATAGGAGAAGAGTGATAAAAGGGGCCTCCTGGGCAGGCAGAGCTATTGGGTAGACATTCCTGGGACCACAGGCTCAGTCCTACCTTAAGGAAAGAGAGCAATGGGTGCTGTACACAGCATCCAAATCCTCCTCCAAAGCATAGATTTCCCTTCCTACAGGATGGCACCATCCTTCTCACGACAAACCATGAGCTCCCTGGCACCTGGAACAAGAGACAGTAGGTTTGAGGCAAAGATCTACAAAGGAGAAGAAATGAAGTAACACTGTAATGGAAAAAGACGTTCTTCAGATGTTTTTCTGAAAAACTCCTTTCTAACAATATAACTCATGATTGACATATACATTAAATATTTACATTTAAAAATTGTTTTACAGTAAAAACATACTGCTTTTAATCACCCTCAGACACAGCCAACTTCAATACACTCTGATCTTTCTGGGTTCTAAAACAATTCTGGTTATCTCCTTTCTGGAGTGTTTTCATGAGACTGATGAAAATACAGTGAAGCTGCTTCCAAGGAAAATCTAATGGAAAGTTTAGCTTTACAATGTTAGGTGTGTCTTATCCCCTTTGTTCACTGCCTCAGGCATTGTGAAATTTCTGCTGCTCTCCACAGTCAAAACGACCCTGGATGATAAACATTTTAAATTCCTTCAGTTTATTAATATAACCATGATGGCGCAACGAAAAACAGTGAGAAAAAAAGACTTCCAGGAATGCTTCCTATGGTGGCAAAAACCATGGGATACACGTGTTGTTAATTAGGGTTTTCTCAGTGGGATTAATGGGACTGGACCTTCAACTACAATAAATGTGTTTTTTAAAAAATTAAAAGGTTTAGCATATTTTTCCTTCATACCTCAAATATTCTTCATTCTGTATTTGTCTGATTTAATCACAGGACTAATCATATATGCCGTATATTACGTGCATTTTTCATGCTGACATGAAGGCATCACCAACTGGGAAGACTGCCAGTCCCAAGACACAGAAAATTCTTCCATGTAGAAGTACGCTGCATAGAATGTGATCTTCATATGACATTTTCCTATCAGGGTGTAGCTAAAACTTTGCAAAATCACAAATATGCAGAACAGCCAACTCAAAAAGTCTAATGCACCAGAGGAGGGATATAGTTACTAAGAAGGCATTGTACTTGGGATTAATGCTAAATGAGTAGATTAGAAATTCCACTTTCCCAGGGAGAAACAGGAATTAGTCTATCAGATGATGCACATGTTAATTTTTTCTATTCTAGTACTGTTTACAATACATAAAATATGTATCTTCTAATATGTTGTACATCTTCAATGTACACAGAAAAGTTTTTATTTCAAAAACTTGGCAAGACCTTTCAGAGGACATTATTACAAAGACATATAACTTGTCAGTAGATTCATTAAAAGGTGTTCACCATCACTAATCCTCAAAAAACTGCCCCAAACCACAAGGAGATATGACCACAAAACCAGTAGGGTGGTTCGTGTCAATAAGACAAGAGATCCCAAGTACTGGACAAATGTGGAGAAAAGGGAACTCTTGTGTGTTGTCACTGATTTTATAAATATTCCCAGCCATCATGGATAAGAATATAAAGTGTCCAGTTTAGGCATGATGGTGCACACCTGTAATCCTAACACTCAGTAGCCTTTGGCAAGAGGGTCACCTTAAGTTCAAGACCAGCTGGGGCTACATAGTGAGTTCAAGGCAAGAACGAACTACTTATCAAGACTCCATCTCAAAAGAAGAACAATCCTTAGAAAATTTAAACTAAAATTTTCTGTGCCAATCACCTCACTTCTGGATTCATATCACAAAGAAATTAAATCAGTATTTCAAGGAGCTATCTACAGTTCTTTATAAACTATAGCACTATTCCCAGTAGCCAAGAATCAAATGTGTCTATCAATGATTAAGTGGATATAAAAATGCAATGTGTATATTTTATTCAATGGAACATTATTCAGTCTACTAAATAGAGAAATCCTGCCTTCTTGATGGCATCAACCAACCTGGAGGGTATTATGTTAAGTTATATAAGTGTGGCAGAGAATGACAAATAATTATATGATTTCTCTTATACACACAGCATCAAAATTGTCCAGGTACAGAAAGAAAGAGTAGAACAATGCTTACACACAATAATCTAGGGGAAGAATGGGAGATGTTGTTTAACACTCTCAGTGATAACATGTACATATTCCTGGGATCTAATGCATAGCATGGAGATGGAAGCTAATACCACCATGGTGTACACATGGAATTTGCTAAAAGGGACATTGAATGTTATCATCATTACACACATAGATAATTATGTGAGGTGATAGGTCACTTAAATTTTGGGCGTAATCTTTCCAACTATAAATACATAGTCATCTTGCTCACTGTACACATTAAATGCACACAAATTTAGTAGATATATCAGAGAAAAAAAGACTGTGCATTTTCACTGTGCTCATAATGCCAGGCTCTGGGCTGAGAGCTTCTTCCTGTCCCTGAATTGAGGGTGGACTCTGGCCAAAGGAGTGTTTGAATCTGAGTGCAGTAGTGGAAGTTCCTTGGAAACACCAGTTCCCATGCTTCTGGAGTGCATATTAGAGAAAAGAATCTGCAGGACAACAATCAGTAGAATTAAAAGCAGTTTCTTCTCAGAGATGTTTGCTTTGGCTATTGGGTCCTTTCTGCTCCTGAGAACATTGCATAAATAGGTCAACCTGTCATGTAACAAGCAGTCCCATTCTTGTCCTGTGCCCTAACCAAAACTTCTATACAATATATTGCAAATGCTTGTTTTCTATATCTCTGTTCTCATGTACACAAGATACAAATAAATAAGTGCAGAGATCGCAGCTTGGTGCTGTTTTCTTGAGACTTTGAATCAGGCCCTCTGGGTGTTCTCAGTGAATGAACTAAATCTTGTCTCTGAGTAAGGTTTTTCATCTTGTACACAGCCACTGTTCCACACTGTGACATTGTGCTGCAGCTGTGTGCCTCCCCGGAGTTACACAGATGGAGGGAACTGTCTGCTGGTGCAGCTTGTGTTTGCTGTCTGCTGGGCGGTGCTCAGGGAGCTGGCCTGGGAATAAGAGAAGGGGAGCCAGAGGAGCACCTTGTGTCTCGAAGTCGATGAGAATGATCTGTGGACAGAACAACCAATAGAGTGTAAGTTCAGTGTTCCTAGAGGTGGGTCGAGGGCAGAAAGAGGCATTCTTTGGCATCAGGCACCCTCAGATCCCCTGAATATAATGCAAGCTCCATGTCTGTTACACCAAATCCTATCATCCTTCCTCTTTTCCCTGAGAGTGCTGTTTTTCACCTCACCAATGTTACATACGTCTTGATGGTTCCTAAATCAAGACATGGTGTTTAGTTTCTTTGGTTTCCTTGGGAGTGCTCCAGCTCTCCCACATTCATGGAAAACTACCATCTCACAAGTAGTCTGACATCTGGAAATGTACAGCCTCTTCTGGTTTTCCTCATATTTTCTTGTTATTTTTTGTTCTCAATGGCTCCTTTGCTCTCCTCTCTCTGTCTTCCTTAGATCCACCATGTCCTTGTTTCTGTCCTGTTTCCATCTCAGGCTCCAGGTCTCCTTTCCTGCCCGACCTCTACCCATAGTTCGTATCTGTCCCGGATGACTGCCTAAATGCACAACATCCCACCTACACATGCACACTCATGTCTTCTCCCAGCCGTGTAAATGCTTCCTACACATAAGTGAACTTAATGATCCAGTCATTACCACATTTCCTACTCAATCTCCATTCGGATGAACCACATCTTCCTCATAAATCTATGGGGAGCTGATTAAGCTCTCAATCATGGACGAGCTTATGCAAAATAATTAAATGAGGCAGTGCAAATATGGTTTGTCAGGAGTCCAGGAAGGGCGCTGGGGATTTAGCTCAGTGGCAAAGCGCCTGCCTGGCAAGTGCAAGGTCGTGAGTTCAGTTCCCGGTACCGGAGAAAAAACAAAAAAAACAAACAAACAAAAAAAAGGAGTCCAGGAAGGTCAGAACTCTCTTGGAGGTATGAGAAAGTCTTCTCTGTAATGCCAGCATATCTTCACTTCGAAATCTAGAGTTATGTAGAGAAATGCACGGAACAGTTGAAGTAAAAGTGGGGAAAAATGAGCTCTTGAGAGATTAGAACAAAGACATTCTTAGGCAGTAAATCTTGTTAATTAAGAGAATTGTTTGATCTCTAAGTTTGCTAGAGATCTCTAAGTTTTATTGTCTTTGAATCCTTTATGTGAGATTAACAGCGGCTGCAACATTCTCTTGTCTTCAGAGACTATGAAAATGAGCTTTTTCAACACAGTCAGAGAACACTGTGTTCAGCAGTTTCACCCTTACACAGCCCAAACTGCAACGTGAATGCATGATTCCTTTCTGCACGCCAATAGGGCTCCTTGTCTTAACCACACTCATCATCACTGGAACAAAATACCTGACACCAAGAAATCTGAAAAAGGAGAGGTTGACTTTGACTCAGTTTTAGAATTTCAGTCCATGGTCAGTGGGCTCCAACACAGAAATAGTACAGAAGAATGGTCTGGTGCTCGGCAAGCAGAGGAGAGAACAGAGAAGGTAGGAAGAGACTCTTCTTCCGGGTCACGCCCTCAGGGAGGAGCCTCAACCGGGCCCCACCTCCTAAGAGCGGCGCAGCTATGAATCCTCGGGGATCAACGCACTCAGGAATACGGCTCCCCAGGATCCAGTCACTTTTCAGTAAGGAGAGCCTTAGGGTGGGGATATTCGAGTTCTAAACCATAACCCCTGAAATCTTTAACATCTCTTCAAACATCGCCTTGTGTATGCTCACACCTGGCTCTGCACCTTAACTCTTTAACAATTTTTGCCTTTTTGGCCCCATCTTCTCATTTATTTTTTTGTCTCCATCCTTGGATTTCTAGGATCTCCCCCAACACATTGTCCCTGTGTGCCCTCCTTTTGCTGGGTCCTCTTCTGCACCATTCTGTTTCACACCTGTGTAGTGTCATCACCCCCAAACACTCCACTTCTATCTCAGGCGTTGTGTTTGTGCAGATAAGTCTGATGGTTTCCAAAGTGAACTATTAGCATTCTTTTTATTCATGTCTTTGAAAATTTTTCTCTGGTGTTTGCTCTCATTCCATTTCTATGCTAATAGTTTATGATGGTAACTCAATTAAATTACTTACAGGGAAAAAGTAGATGTTTTGTAGGAGACTTTTCAGGGAAGCCAGGAGGACAAGGAGACACACAGAGCTTATTGTCAGTCCTCCACTTGTCAGGCCTCAGCTCTTCCTATCCTTATAATGGGAGACCTGTCTGTCCTCCAGGATCATGTACAGGTAAGAACCTCTCCATGCTGCACTGTTCTTTTAAGAGATGTTAACTAGAAACTTGTAATAGTAATTCACAATTGTCACCTGGCGGGAAAGATTTCAGAAATGTTCTCAGATCCCTCAGCCCGCACACCTATTGCTACTATGGGTCAAATAATGAAGGCAGGAGAGGTCACTGTCTCTTTCTATTTCTTCTGCTCTTCTGCTGTTGTATGTGTATGGGTATATGCATGTCAATATGTGTGTGTGCGTGTGTGTATGTGTGCATATGCATGTATGTGTGTGTGTGTGTGTGTGTGTGTGCATGGATGGATGAATAGATAGCAGGAACAAATTAGATACAATGTAAATATATCTTCATATGGCAAAAGAAGGAAGGTACACTTTATGATGAGAATTCAGGTTTTTTTTGAGACAGCTTTTTGCCACACAGTCTAGGAAGATCTCACATTCACTATATAGCCCAGCCTGGTCTTGAACTCATGGCTATCCTACCGCCTCAGCCTCAAAGATGATAACTCCTGACTGAAAAGAAGGAAACAGAAGCAATAATTGATTTTAAATGAAAAATTAGCTTTTATTTGATTTCCAAATATTTTACAATTAAGTTTCTTCTTATTTGCATTTCCTTTACATAGTACCACAAAGTATCACTACACAATACCACATATACAGAGTCTGCCAGAAATATATATATAAACACACTTCAGGAAAAGAAAAAGTTGCACAAATATTTTAATACTAAACTTATGGAGATATCATGAGTTTCCTGCAAAGCATGTAAATGTGCAAAAAAGTGCTCCATCTCAGTAATCTATTAGGGCATTCAAATCAAATCCTCAGTGAATATCACTTCTCTCTGGTATGGTTATTATCAGAAAGATAAATGATACACGTGCCAGTGAGGATGTGGAGGAGACAGATACCTTGCACAGAGTTGATGTTATAAATGTAAATTACTCCCACTATTGTAGAAGTCACTACAGATGTTTCTCAAAAATGAAAATGAGAACCAGCATTTGATGCCACCTTCCCACTATGGACCATATATCGAAAGGAAATAGAGGCACTATATCCAAGAGGCCCTTGCAGTCCCTTGGTTATTGCAGATTTATTCAGAGGAGGGTGGACATGTTAGGAAACCAAGTTGTCTATCAGCTAATGCTTGGGTAAGGAGCATGTGATACCTGTTCCTATGAAGATAAAATCCTGTCATTTGTAGCAACATGGACAGAAATGGAGAGGACCATGTTTAGTGACATGAATGATGCTCAAAAGGACAGGGACCGCATGAGGCCATTTATATGAGAATTTAAATAGTTTGGTCTCATAGAAAGTGTGGAATGGTGGCTCCTAGAGGCTTGGGAGAGTGGCATTGAGAGATGGACAGAAAAGGTGAGGAGGGAACATGAAGTTATGGTAAGCAGAAATAATTTCTGGTATTCTCCTCTACAGTGGGTCAGCTATAGCCACTGATAATATAGCATAATGTTTTTAAATACTGGAGGAAGAGATTGTGACAGTTTTCCCATAAAGAAATACTCATTATTTAAGGAAACATGGCATTGACCCTGATATACACACAATTAAATGTACACATTGTAATGAAACATCACGTTATCCTACAACGATGTAAGACTTGCATGTATCACTTTTAAACAAATATCCACTTCCTTCTTACACTTCCCTTCTGTGCTCACACATGAGGTGTGATCAACCATGTGGAGAAAGAGTCAGTGA